ACACACACACACACAGTTGCAATCAGCGAAGAGGCGGGGCCAGGAGCTATGAATCGACCCCTGCAACCACAAATAGGTGAGTACAGACTCGAAGTGTTCCTGTTTGCAGATGATGTGAAGTTGATGAGAAGAATTCACTCGATCGAAGACCAGGCAGAACTACAAAGGGATCTGGACAGGCTGCAGACCTGGTCCAGCAATTGGCTCCTGGAGTTCAACCCCACCAAGTTAAAAGTCATGAAGATTCGGGAAGGGCAAAGAAGACCGCAGACGGAGTATAGTCTAGGGGGCCAGAGACTATAAACCTCACTCAAGGAAAAAGATCTTGGGTGAGTATAACTCCAGGCACATCTCCTGAAGCGCAAATCAACCAAATAACTGCTGCAGCATATGGGCGCTTAGCAAACCTCAGAACAGCATTCCGACATCTTAATAAGGAATCGTTCAGGACCCTGTACACCGTGTACGTTAGGCTCATATTGGAGTATGCGGCACCAGTTTGGAACTCACATCTAGCCAAGCAAGTAAAGAAACTAGAGAAAGTGCAAAGGTTTGCAACAAGACTAGTCCCAGAGCTAAGGGGTATGTCCTACGAGGAGAGGTTAAGGGAAATCGACCTGATGACACTGGAGGACGGGTGAGATATGGGGGACATGATAACGACATACAAAATACTGAGAGGAATTGACAAGGTGGACAGACAGGATGGTTCAGAGATGGGACACAGCAACAAGGGGACACAGTTGGAAGTTGAAGACTCAGATGAACCACAGGGATGTTAGGGAGTATTTCTTCAGTCACAGAGTAGTCAGGAAGTGGAATAGCCTGGGTAGTGATGTAGTGGAGGCAGGATCCATACATAGCTTTAAGAAGAAGTATGATAAAGCTCGCAGAGCAGGAAGAGTGACCGGGTAGCGGCCAGGTGAAGAGACGGGGCTAGGAGCTGTGACTCGACCCCCGCAACCACAACCAGGTGAGTACAACTGAGTACACACACACACACACACCACACCACACACACACACACACACACACACACACACACACACACAACACACACGATCATGAGAGCGGGGCCAGGAGCTCGATCGACCCCGCACCTCAACTAGGATGATACAACACACAACACACCACACTGAGGTGGTGAACGAACAAACACACACCATAATTGTATGTATAGCAATGGGAACGGAGCTAAATTCGCTATGAGAATCAAGTAATTATGTGATGTAATTGAAGTTGGTGCTAGGACCTCACCTTCAACCTGAATTAACACAAATTCACGTCAAGTGCGTAATCCACGATATGTTATGAAAGTTGCGTGCTAACCCAACTGTAAAACTTAACCAGAGAGTCGTTAAGTGTAAACCTCTGAATGTGCTGTGTGTAAACTTCTGCAGGTGCTGTGTAAACTTCTGCAAGTGCTGTGTGTAAACTTCTGCAGGTACTGTGTAAACTTCTGCAGGTGCTGTGTGTAAACTTCTGCAGGTGCTGTGTAAACTTCTGCAGGTGCTGTGTGTAAACTTCTGCAGGTACTGTGTAAACCTCTGCAGGTGCAGTGTGTAAACTTCTGCAGGTGCAGTGTGTAAACTTCTGCAGGTACTGTGTAAACTTCTGCAGGTACTGTGTAAACTTCTGCAGGTGCTGTGTGTAAACTTCTGCAAGTGCTGTGTGTAAACTTCTGCAGGTGCTGTGTAAACTTCTGCAGGTGCTGTGTGTAAACTTCTGCAGGTGCTGTGTAAACTTCTGCAGGTGCTGTGTGTAAACTTCTGCAGGTACTGTGTGTAAACTTCTACAGGTGCTCTGTGTAAACTTCTGCAGGTGCTGTGTGTAAACTTCTGCAGGTGTGTGTGCAAACTTCTGCAGGTGCTGTGTGTAAACTTCTGAAGGTGCTGTGTGTAAACTTCTGCAGGTGCTGTGTGTAAACTTCTGCAGGTGCTGTGTGTAAACTTCTTCAGGTGCTGTGTGTAAACTTCTGCAGGTGCTGTGTGTAAACTTCTTCAGGTGCTGTGTGTAAAACTTCTGCAGGTGCTGTGTGTAAACTTCTGCAGGTGCTGTGTGTAAACTTCTTCAGGTGCTGTGTGTAAACTTCTGCAGGTGCTGTGTGTAAACTTCTTCAGGTGTTGTGTGCAAACTTCTGCAGGTGCTGTGTGTAAACTTCTGCAGGTGCTGTGTGTAAACTTCTGCAGGTGCTGTGTGTAAACTTCTGCAGGTGCTGTGTGTAAACTTCTTCAGGTGCTGTGTGTAAACTTCTGCAGGTGCTGTGTGTAAACTTCTGCAGGCGCTGTGTGTAAACTTCTGCAGGTACTGTGTGTAAACTTCTTCAGGTGCTGTGTGTAAACTTCTGCAGGCGCTGTGTGTAAACTTCTGCAGGTGCTGAGTGTAAACTTCTGCAGGCGCTGTGTGTAAACTTCTGCAGGTGCTGTGTGTAAACTTCTGCAGGCGCTGTGTGTAAACTTCTGCAGGTGCTGTGTGTAAACTTCTGCAGGTGCTCTGTTTAAACTTTTGCAGGCGCTGTGTGTAAACTTCTGCAGGTGCTGTGTGTAAACTTCTGCAGGTGCTGTGTGTAAACTTCTGCAGGCGCTGTGTGTAAACTTCTGCAGGTGCTGTGTGTAAACTTCTGCAGGTGCTGTGTGTAAACTTCTGCAGGCGCAGTGTGTAAACTCCTGCAGGTGCTGAGCGTAAACTTCTGCAGGCGCTGTGTGTAAACTTCTGCAGGTGCTGTGTGTAAACTTCTGCAGGCGCTGTGTGTAAACTTCTGCAGGTGCTGTGTGTAAACTTCTGCAGGTGCTGTGTGTAAACTTCTGCAGGTGCTGTGTGTAAATTTCTTCAGGTGCTGTGTGCAAACTTCTGCAGGTGCTGAGCGTAAACTTTTGCAGGTGCTGAGTGTAAAGTTCTGCAGGTGCTGTGTGTAAACTTCTGCAGGTGCTGTGTGTAAACTTCTGCAGGTGCTGTGTGTAAACTTCTGCAGGTGGTGTGTGTAAACTTCTGCAGGCGCTGTGTGTAAACTTCTGCATGTGCTGTGTGTAAACTTCTGCAGGTGCTGTGTGTAAACTTCTGCAGGTGCTGTGTGTTAAACTCCTGCAGGTGCTGGCGTAAAGCTTCTGCAGGCGCTGTGTGTAAACTTCTGCAGGTGCTGTGTGTAAACTTCTGCAGGTCGCTGTGTGAAACTTCTGCAGTGCTGTGTGTAAACTTCTGCAGGTGCTGTGTGTAAACTTCTGCAGGTGCTGTGTGTAAACTTCTGCAGGTGCTGTGTGTAAACTTCTGCAGGCGCTGTGTGTAAACTTTTGCAGGTGCTGAGCGTAAACTTCTGCAGGCGCTGTGTGTAAACTTTTGCAGGTGCTGAGCGTAAACTTCTGCAGGTGCTGTGTGTAAACTTCTGCAGGCGCTGTGTGTAAACTTCTGCAGGTGCTGTGTGTAAACTTCTTCAGGTGCTGTGTGCAAACTTCTGCAGGTGCTGAGCGTAAACTTTTGCAGGTGCTGAGTGTAAACTTCTGCAGGTGCTGTGTGTAAACTTCTGCAGGTGCTGTGTGTAAACTTCTGCAGGTGCTGTGTGTAAACTTCTGCAGTTGCTGTGTGTAAACTTCTGCAGGTGCTGAGCGTAAACTTTTGCAGGTGCTGTGTGTAAACTTCTGTAGGTGCTGTGTTTAAACTTCTGCAGGTGCTGTGTGTAAACTTCTGCAGGTGCTGTGTGAACTTCTGCAGGTGCTGTGTGTAAACTTCTGCAGGTGCTGTGTGTAAACTTCTGCAGGTGGTGTGTGTAAACTTCTGCAGGTGCTGTGTGTAAACTTCTGCAGGTGCTGTGTGTAAACTTCTGTAGGTGCTGTGTTTAAACTTCTGCAGGTGCTGTGTGTAAACTTCTGCAGGTGCTGTGTGTAAACTTCTGCAGGTGCTGTGTGTAAACTTCTGCAGGTGTTGTGTGTAAACTTCTGCAGGCGCTATGTGTAAACTTCTGCAGGCGCTGTGTGTAAACTTCTGCAGGTGCTGTGTGTAAACTTCTGCAGGTGCTGTGTGTGCGCACCTTCAATAGCTGTGTTTAGTTTCACTGTGTGTAAACTTCCACAGAGAGTCACCGTTGTAACATCATCCTTTGGAATGTCCGTATGTAAACATATCAGCAGCGTCACTGTATCTAAACACATCCTTAGGATTCACTTGTGTAAACTCTTGCACAGTCACTGAGAGAGTCAGTGTTTACTAACGTATCTTTGCCAAGTCCTAAATTTGAGAAGATCAACTTTTAATACCGAAGTTGTTATGGTTGGATACACTTGCTGAATGTTTTGTGTCAAATATTCATCACAGATGGACGTGTTCGTTACCCAGGTGTCGTTCGGAGATTCGCTTGTGTATATTTAAGATGCAATGTTTGTTTACAGGTTGCTGAGGTCGTTTGGGTGCATTGATTATTTAACTTATCAATCTTCTGCAATCACCAACAGCCTTAAATTTGCCAGGTCTGGGAAGCTATTAGTGGAGTGAATTTGAGTCTCCACCGCATCACTGAGCTGAAATCTTACATGGTGTAAACGCATATGAAATGCAGCAGGAATTTCTGCTTATGTGAATTCACTGCCACGTGTGCGAAGCGCTAGAGCAGCTAAGCACTAGACACTACCTGGGCGTCTACAACATAGGTAATTGTACAGTAAAATTAGTCACTTTCAGATGCAGACGGATATTAACACTATTGACTACCTGTACTAAGGTAGAGTTCTCACTTTCAATTAACGCATACGATCGACACATTCCATGACAGAGTCCTAGGTCGCATCCACAAATTAAAGATATATCACGCGTAGAGTCTTCATGATCTTGGCTTTGATGTCACTCCGCTATTGTAAGTCACACGTCCCAACAACAGGAGACATTATTGCAGGACACAATCACACGCTCCAGTGGTAGACGGAGAGGATTAAAACTAACAGTGTTAGTCTATATCAAGAAAGATATTCAGTATCCAGCAGCTGCAGCGAAAAACTTAAACGAGCAGACTCTACCTGTTCTACGACAGAGTCTCACGCTGCAGCGGCGGTAATTCGGCTCAGCAACGAAGTCCGCGAGGCGCCTCAGCTTCTGGAGTCCCCGACTGTCCGCGCGCACACCGACTAAGCGACTGGCCGAGGGCAAGAGGCTCCAGCTCCACATCGAATCCACCAAGGACCTTCCTGAGTCCTGGCCCCGCCCATCCACCAGCCTGCCCAGCCTCTGGGTGTCCTAGACGGGCCTGGGGATGCATACCAGGAGAAGGGGGCAGCGAAGAAGGTAGCGGGGCAGCAGGAGAGGTGGGTATTGAGGAAGATGTCGCACCGGGCGGCTAAAATGGTAAGGGGCAGGCGAAAGGGTAAGGAGGGCTTGTAGCCGGCAGTAGAGAAAGTAGTGTGTTACGGATGGGATAATGGTCGGTAGGGTTGCTAGTGGACATGAAAAGAAGAGGGTGGTTGGCAACGGTGCTGGGTTCCGAGGGGGGAAGGCGGGGGTACAAGGCAGCCGACGGCAGGACCTTCTTATTTGTAGACAAGGTTTTGTAGCAGCTCGTAAAGAGTAAAGGGCGAGGGTGCCCGTCAGTATCAACGGCACTAATATGCTGACTTCTGAGACAAAATGTTCGCGCAAGGTCTTACCAGAGCTCAGAAGCTTTCACTGTTTTTTATTACTTCGCACTGTGTTCATCCGGTCTCTTTCCTTCCTCATACACCTCTCACAGTTCTCCACAAACCACCCCACTCACCATTATAACTTCTCCACACGCCTCCCTGCCCACCTCTAACACTTTTTTTTATAAACCACCCCACACACCTGCCACTCTTTCCCTATAAACCTTCCACACACACACTTCTCACAATAATGGGATCAATCTCATTATCCAACAAAACACTGTGATGGGGGACGAAGAGCTGCAGGTTAATATCAACAAACAAAACGAGGTAATTAACACACACACACACACACACACACACACACACACAACACACACACACACACACACACACACACCACACACACACACACACACGAAAGCACATATACAACATACACACAACTCATAAGTTTTGGACGTCCACGATTATCTTACATACTAGAAACTCTTGGAGTTCAACCCCAGTGTAGACAAGAGGAGCACCAGGAGTGAGCCCAGCAGGTACCCCAAGGTCTTCCACTTCCAGCACCGCTACTCAACTGATCCAGAGGGTCTGGAAGTATCCCTCTTGTTCCAGAATCATTTCCTGAAGCCCTGCTTGTTCCAGTATCACTTCCTGGAGGTCTTAGAAGAACAAAATAAGCAGCCCACACCTGGTAGACTGAACTGAATGTCAAGCAAGTGAAAGTTATGAGGTGTGGGTCAGGGAAGGATAGGGAGTGGGGGGGGGTCAGTGAGTTATGAACCAGGGAGGTTATGTATAGGTTAGGGGGCTTTGATTTACAGGATACATTATGGCATATTTCTTCAGATGGCCAGTAGGATTACCAGCTATGTCATTTCTTATCTAGGCATATCTAGAGTACGGCAGTTTCATCTACTTCACAGTAAGTAAGCTGGAAGTACTAGGAATAAATTACAAGGAATTTCCTGTAATTGACTAGGTATTGTAATGGGAAAATGTATTTCAAGAAAAGGGATTAATAAGTATACGAGGTATGATGAAGTTAGCAATGACAACAATTAATTAGTTTGTATTAGTGGATGAAAGACTGATGAGAACACTTCCGGAAGAAATTGTTTGTAGAGGAATGGCATATCAGACCAATGTTCAGTAAGAGTGAGAGAAAGATGAAGCATGAGAAGTGTCTGAGTGTAAGAGAGAAGTGAAAGTGAATGAACTGAAGAAGGAAGCAGTTAGTGGGTGGTATATGCAATTACTGAAACAAACGTGGGCCAAGATTTGGGTACGAGGAGGAGTTTAAAGATATTATGGATCATATTTAGGAATGCAGTGCTATAGGAATGCTTGTGGTTATAGTACAGTACGTTCAGGTGTGAAAATGAATATTTGATGGAAGAATGAGTTAAAAATTAAAGTGGTAATTGAGAAAGTTAAAATGTTAGGGTTTTTTTACAACGTTAACCTGGTATACTGAAAGCAAAGTACACAGAGAGTACAAGAAAAGTTAAACAAATGGTGTGAGAGAGAGAAAATATAAGAATATGAAAGTCATTTTCAGCAAATGTTATTGAAAATAAGTGAAAGTTTAGTAAAAAGATAAATAAGTTGATAATTCTTGCTAGTAAATGGGGAAGGTAGAGATACTGGATTGCTGAGGTCAGTGGTCACGTGTGGTCATGCCTGCCTAAGCTCTTGGGAGTTAGCGTGGGCTGTTACCAAGCACCATGGCTTGTTGTAGTGTTTTAGAATCTCAGGTTCAGCTGTTGAAGAAGGAGGTTTTACTTCTTCAGGAGGAAAATTGGAGGCTGAAGCTTCGCATAGATGAGTTTGGGAGCGAGTGTGAGAAGGATTTAGCTGGTAAGGAGGAAATGGTCACCAGCAGTGATAGTGGCAGCCGCTTCAAGTGGCAAGTGGTTCACAGTTCAGGAAGAAGGAAGATGAGAAGAGTTAATAGAGAAGATGTGAAAGTAGGAAATCGATTCTCTGTTCTCCAGGACGAGTGTACTTCAGTGGTTAGTGAGGTTGAAGGTACCACCGATTCCCCTGCTAATCAAGGTAAGAATATTTTAATAGTAGAGGATTCTCAGGTAAGATATATGGACCGTGCATTTTGTAACAGAGACAGAAAGGTCAGACAGAGAGTGTGTCTTCCTGGAGCTGGTGTTGGTGACATAGTCAGCAGGTTGGATAATATTATGGCAGGCAATGGGAAGAAGCCCATTATCTGTCTTAGTGCTGGGGAAGGGCAGGAGAGAGGAGATGCTAGATAAGTACAGGTCAGCCATAGAAGTAGTTAGGTCTAAGGGAGGGATCCCAGTCATATGTAGCATCTTGCCTAGAAAGGGAGTGGGCAATGAATGGATGTCTAGGGCAATTGGTATAAATTGCTGGCTAGACAGGTACTGCAAGGAACTTGCAATCCCATTCATTGTTAACTGGGGCCTATTCTTTGGCAAACGTGATATGTATGCAAAGGATGGGGTTCATCTCTCTGGGGATGGAGTGGTTGCATTAGCCAATTCGATTGAGAGGGTAATTGATGACTTGTCTAGGAATTTAAACTGATAGATTATAGAGGTATGGGTGTTTGTGGGAAACAATCAGGCTGCAGCATTAGGGTTAAAAACAGCAGTTATTACCGGGATACTCAGGGATATGTTTAAAAGACAATATTCAAAATAAAGTTGCTAGTAATAGCAAATCAATTGATCAACAAAGAGAGATAGTAGTGGGCAACGAGTGGCTAGCTCCCTTAAGGTTTACTATACAAATAGTAGGAGTCTAAGAAATAAGATAGAAGAGCTAAGATTACTTGCAAGTGTAGGTAATATAGATATTATTGGTATAACAGAGACCTGGTTCAACCTGAAGGACAGAGAAATGCCTTCTGAATGCAACATACAGGGTTATAAATTATTCCACACTGATAGGGTCAACAGGATAAGATAAGATAAGATTTCGTTCGGATTTTTAACCCCGGAGGGTTAGCCACCCAGGATAACCCAAGAAAGTCAGTGCGTCATCGAGGACTGTCTAACTTATTTCCATTGGGGTCCTTAATCTTGTCCCCCAGGATGCGACCCACACCAGTCGACTAAGCAGCCAGTAACCCTTTATGCTCTAAGGTAACAGACAATCAGGTGTAAGGGAAACGTTCGAATGTTTCCACCCGCCGGGAATCGAACCCGGGCCCTCCGTGTGTGAAGCGGGAGCTTTAGCCACCAGGCCACCGGGCCACCAAGGGTGGTGGTGTGGCGATGTATGTCAGAGAAAATTTAAATTGTTGTTTTAGACATGATATAAGATTAGAAACATCGAACACAGAATCTTTTTGGTTACAGTTTCTCGAGGGACGTGACAAATTAATTTTGGGTATGATTTATAGGCCCCCAAACATTGACAGGGAGTGCAGTAAGCTGTTATGGGACGAAATTCATAAGGCATCTAGATATGAAAATGTTGTGATAATGGGAGATTTTAACTTTAGACAAATTGATTGGAACAATATAACAGGAAATTTTGAGTCTAGTGACTTTCTTGATACAGTTCAGCATTGCTTTTTAGAACAGGTTGTGACAGAACCAACTAGAGGAAACAATCTGCTTGACTTGGTTCTTGCCAACAAAGATTCACTAATTAATAATCTTGAGGTTAATGATGAGCTTGGGGAAAGTGATCACAAATCACTTAGTTTCAATATATCATGGAATTACCCAGATAACTGCAATCAAATCTCTGTCCCAGATTTTCGCTTGGCCGACTTCATGGGACCGAAAAATTACCTGGGTGGGCTAAATTGGAATGTCCTGACTATGGGTCAGATAGGTGATCTTGGTTGGCAATATGACGTTTTTCAGAGCATAGTTCTAGCTGCCCAGACAACTTTTCTTCCGAGTAGGGAAATCAGATCTAACAAAAATGATCCCAAATGGATGAACAATAGATTAAAACATCTCATTGGTCAAAAGAGAGGCATATAAAGGCGTATCAAAAAAGGGGATGGGCAGTTAATAAAATCAATATATTCAATTAAAGAGAGAAATAAAGAAAGGAATAAGAAAAGCAAAAAGGGATTATGAGGCTAAGGTCGCAAGGGATTCAAAGACTAACCCAAAAGGGTTCTTTCAGGTATACAGAAGTAAGATTAGGGACAAGACTGGCCCACTTAAGAGTAACTCTGGTCAGATCACTGACAATGATAAAGATATGTGTGCAATTCTCAATACCTACTTCCTCCTTAGTTTTCACCCAGGAAAATACTAGCGATATTCCTGAAATAATAGATTATGTAGAACAGGACGATAATAAACTATGCACGATTGCGGTAACTAGTGACATGGTCCCCAGACAAATAGAGAAACTAAAACATAAGAAATCCCCAGGTCTTGATGAACTGTTTGCAAGGGTGTTAAAGGAATGTAAAGAGGAACTTAGCATACCTTTGGCTAATCTTTTTAACATATCACTACAAACTGGCATAGTGCCTGATAAGTGGAAAATGGCAAATGTAATACCTATTTACAAGGCAGGTGACAGGTCCTTGGCTTCGAACTATAGACCAATAAGCCTTACCTCCATAGTGGGAAAATTTATGGAATCAATAATAGCCGAAGCAGTTCGTAGCCATCTTGATAGGCACAGATTGATTAGTGAATCTCAACACGGTTTTACAAAGGAG